ATAATATACAGTATAACAAAACGAGCCATATGTTTATCCCACAACTTTAGAAATTGTATTGAGATTTTTTGTTGGACTGTGTCTGCGCTTGACGATTTCCATTAGAAATAAAGATCACTTGAAAGTAATTCCACTGCAGTTCACTCAACATAAGCCTGCTGCAAGTGTTCTTCGCATTGCAACTTTACAATCTACAATGTTTATATAACAATACACTGTGACAAAACGATGGCGTCATAACATTTGCCGTGCCATCAATTACACGAAAAAACATTTAGAAAAACACTCATTGAATGGGCAATGGTTATTTTAAACTTCAATTACTATGTGTTGTGGGATAAATACGATCTGAAAATATTGATCAAAAAGGGCAATACGATTATGATGGACTGTGTACCCTATGAGATGTATAATAGTAAACCCACAGTGTACCATACAGTTCAGGAGACACTGCAAGACTATTTTTTTATTTTTAGATTTTCCTTGAGTATATCCTCTCATTTTGACATTTTAAAATATCTTGATTTTATCTGTAAAGCTGTCACCCCAACCGGTGGGAGAGAACCATCTGAGGACCCAATCAAAGCCATCACCTTGCCATAACATAGCAGGGGTTACCAAAAAGATTTCCAAAATCATGAGCAAACACAAGTTCCGGGTTCGATTCAACACAGTACATAAAATTCGTGATCTGATCCCATCTGTGAAGGATGTGATCCCTGACATGCAATACCCCGGCGCCTACAAACTAAGCTGTGGCTGCGGCAGTAGTTACATTGGGGAAACTACGCGACATGTCTCGGACCGTGTTCGTGAACATAAGGTAGATCTGATACACGGTAGGACCAATACCTCGGCCGTGGCTGATCATTGTTTTACCGCTGTGGGCACACATTAAATTGATTTCTCCAAGATGAAGGTACTCTGCAAACCTACTGGCTATCAACAAAGATTTGTTCATGAAGCCATCCAGATATATAAACAGACACAATTTCAACCGAGATGATGGGTACAAGCTGAGCAATCATTGGAAGGACGTTATTAAACAGTTTAAGTCATAACTGGCTGTGATGTTTCCATCCTACCTGCCGATGTTAGCAGTTATTTCCGACTCTCTTGAGTTGCATTCCTCGATGTGGCGGTGTCTACATTGACATGCTAATCTCTCACAATACAATGGCCAGGCCAACAGCTTTGGGGTGCCCTCGATCTTCCTTCTCTAACCCCGCCCACTTACTCTTGCACCCATCTCAGGCCTTAATAACACCCAGATTCAGCAGCTCTCTTGCTATATTTTTTCACCTGAGGACGATTGCTTGTGTTGCGATCAAAACGTCGTGATTTTTTATTACTTTTCTATCTACGTGACTTCACCGAAAGACTCGGAGTAGGAATACCTTTGCTTAATTGAAACTGTAAAGTATTGTGATGCCCTCTTTAGTGGAGGCGAGTTCTTACTCAAATCATGTATTGAATTAATTAATGAAAAGTAGATCTAGAACCACTAGCCACTAGCCTGTGGCTACACAAATGCCCCAGGTACATCAACAAGCCTGGACCCCACACTACGGCATGGTAGTTATCTCAACCAATATCTGCTTGCTCTTTTACGAGTGCCTGTCTTGCCATGCATTTTCTGTTTCAAGCAAATGCTTATCATCTCTTTGGGTTCATCAAACCTTCTCATATTAACCCACGTCTGCTTGATTGTGAAATGCATAAAGAGAGCCGATTAATAAAACAATTGTAAGAGTTATAACGATCACCATGAAGTAAAATGCCTGCATCACAAGCACCGAGTCACCACCACAACAGGTGCCGTGACAATCGCCGGTTCTGAAAGGCACCCAGCTGGCAGCCTCAAACCGAATAATCTTGCGTGAGAAAATCTATCACTTGTCTGAAATAGAGTACCACTGATGCTTGGCTAAGACACTCAATGGGCAGATACCAGAAATCATACCGTGGTGTCAACATCCATTAGGGCTGTTAAGGACATGATTAGAGTGGGCTATTCAGACCATCTGGCTTGTGTGGCTGTTCTCTGGAAATAACGTGATGGGAAGGAAGTCACCCACGATCAATGTGCAGTGTTTTGCCGTTTCAGTGAATTATTCTAACATAGGGAGAGAGGTAGAACAGCTTGGAATTTAAATAATAATTTCAAAAACTAAAGAGACTCTTATATCCACACGTGTTCTCACGATTATTCTAACATTGCAAAGTGGCAAACTGATGTTAAATGCCAGGGGTGCTGAAGCAACAACAAAACAAGCCACTGTTTGAAACCCGGTATATCTGCCTAAAATTAGCATCCTTCACATGCAGCTGCTTCTCTAACAGTGTGCAATATGGTTAACGCTCAGTTATCCAAGGTAATGGGGGTGGATGGATGACCCAATAAAAGAATAAACAAAGATAAAGCCAAACACATGTACAACTACCCTGTAAAATATACGTCATCATCAGCATCACGATCCATAGGCAGGTAGCTCATTAGGTGTCCACTGCGATATTTCGTTATTTGTTTCCACTCTTCTCTGTCTTGTGCCAATATGCTCAAGTAGTGCCATATCTTTCTGGCACCAAACTCCTATGTCGTCATCAAGTCATTCTCTGTGAGGTCTTCCTCTCAATACGTATTGTTTACTTATGTGGAATGTTGGTGAAGATGCAGAATGAGGTTTTAACGCTACAGTGAAATGCAGAAAACACGTTACACACAGTTAACCGGGGGGAAATCCTCAAAAATAATAATGAAAACATTGTTTTTGTTAAATTGTTAAAATAACACGTTTACATTTACCTACAAACGTCAAGACGTCACAAGGGCACCGATTCACTGCCCCTTAACGCACGAGGAGCAGCTCGTAATAGTGATGGAATTGATGAACGCACCCATAGATAGTTCATTTGACAAGCGAGGTGAACCCACAAGTCGGATAATGTAGCCACAGGTAAAGCGAGAGTTAGCCGAATCTTCCATCATGGTGAACGTGTGTGAGCACAACACTTACCAATAGCTATTGTGGCCTCGCAGTGGTAGAAGCCACTGAGCTGTTTCTTCTTCAGCATCGCGCACAAGTCGAGCCGATGTAGCAGCTCCCCCCCGAAGGACTCCTCTTTCGAGTCTTCATAGAGGCTCGGGTCGATCTTCCTGATGCCCTGTCCCACGTATCGCACACGGGGTCTGTTTATTCACGACTTCTTACAATTACGGCAGAACACGATTCCTGAAGATGCGGGGTGATCCCATGATAGAAAAAAATCATTGTAGTCAATATTCATGGGTGACACCGGAAGAGTTCCGATTCGTGTGGTCTCAACCACTGGGGGAAACAGTAGCATTCACTAAACACAACCTCAAGACAGTCTCAGCGAGTTCGAAGACTCTTTTTGGCTACATCCTACTTGGATTATTTGGCGAATCCACTGAAAAGTGGTAGAACATTAGCGAAAAAAAACCTCAAACATAGGAAGGGATGTAATGATATAAGCCCAAGGACAACCTATTTGTGCATGGTAGTCGCCTGTAGTCTGGCACTGTGGAGGCAAGGGTCAGTGGATCACACGAATGTTGCAAAAAACTCCCAGCCCTTGGGCGTCGAGGAGCCACAACCTGGCTTGCCAGGAGAATGCAGTACAAGTACGGACTAACGTCATCTTTCCCTCGTATACCGCGATACTGTTGCCCTCTCGCAAGTGTGGGTTTTCTGTGGATAAAACATCTTGTATAGAGGGTTCGCAGAGCTTGGGCAATTCTTGGTTGCCGGCTTACTGTTGGGCTACTGTTTCCCAGCTGGTTTGTGCTTCCTCAGCAATTGTGAGATGCAATTTGCACAAAACGAAAGTACATTAAGCTTAACATTATTACTATAATAAGCCAAGAATGTGTGTGTCCCGTGCATGACGTCACTCCACACGAGGCCCCCGCCCCACCCCCCCTTCATTAATAGTCATGAGTGGGTGGATTTTTTACACTAATGCAGAGGAAGGTCGAGCTAAATTAAATAATTAATTGTGCAAAGTCACTTCAAATATGACGTTTCTTTACAGAAACGCAGCACAGTGCTACATCCGTGCGTGACGTCACTGCAAAAGAGCCCCCCCCTTCGTTAATATTCATGCCCACGTGGAAATTTACACTAACGCACAAGAAGGTCGCGCACTCCACATGCCGCACCCTTCCCCAATAACCATTCACGGGTGACGTCACTCCACATGCTGCACCCCTCCACAGTAACCATGAGGGGGTGACATCACTGCACATGGGGCAACCCCCCCCCCCCCTCATTAATAATCATGAGCTGAACAATTTTTCTATTTAATGTTTCAGATTTACTGCACTATACACCCGTCCTTGGACGGGCAAAAAAGCTAGTTTATATTATTATCCGTGTTCAAACATTCTCAATCCTGAGTAGTGTCTGACATATGGTGAAATCATGAACATCTTGGGTGATTTGGCCATAGGCAAGAGGGGATAACACAAAAAAATATGTACAAACAGGACAAGCTATTTGATATACTTGGAGCCATACGATGGCAACATTGCAGGCTGTGCGTGTCGTGCACACGACGAGCATGCGATCCACCGGCCGCTGCCCAGATCACAGGCATGCACCAACAAGCCAGTTCCAGTCACATGACAGAAGGAGCGTTACCGTAAATGTAAGGCGTAATTAAATCAAGCCTGTATAAATATTATCACACGAGCAATGAAAACATTATAAATGCACCGCGGTGCCTATGGAGTTTTACTTTCATGAGGAAAGTAAAAAGTATTTTCTTGATGGGTATGAACTGCTGCCTAGACATTCTTAATGAATAGCGAAAACTATTGCCAACAGTATATCTGTTGCCGCACCATCAATAACATTGTTTTACACGCCAGCGATATCCTAGATATACGGCGAAGTGTAAAATGCTTTGAAAAGGGCACTCGCGTCTGCAGCAGGTCCAATACCTACACCTGCGCAGATCGTTTTGTAACACCAAATTACTGAAGTTATTTATCTTGCGACTATTTAAATGAATGTTGAACGTACAAAAAAATGTGCTGAAGCTGTTGGCAATTTATTTAATAACGAATGTGCATTTCAGCCCCCGAAGACCTCGCCCATTTTGGCATCACGCCGGTGGACATGGCAATATTGTGGCACCAGAGACAAAGGCCTCAGTTTCCCTTCTGCAAGGGAGGCAATGAAAAAGTACAGCAGTCTCAGGAAACAACTGAGGGTGCTTTTACAATGATTGACTGCTTTATTTAGTCTGGCACTTTTGAGGTGCAGACTCCCCACTGAATCCTATGGAGTGGCTTAGTTCAGCGCAGCTCGTGAAAATCTACGTCTCTTACACTTTCTGTTTTAAAAAAATTGTCTTTAATGTACTTAACCAGACCGTGTGTATAATACAGGTGCTTTGTGGTTAAAGGCAGTGCAAGATACTTTGTTCTAAATCACAAAAGAATCTTATTGTGTGTAAAGGGTTTTACATCCACCATTCTCAATAGCTATTTGAACAGTCTCCAAACAATAATACTTTTTAAAAACAGAGGTAGGTCATGTTGATACGATTAAATTATTTTATTTGACCAGGTAAGGCCCACTGAGCTATGTAGCTCTTTTTCAGAAGCGACCCGGCCGCAAATGATAGCTCAACAAAGTGGCTTATTACGTGGACATTTGTAGCAGCCAAATACTCTAAAGGCATGTATCTAAATGTGGAGGGCAAAACTAAGTACCCAGAGAAAAATCCACACGACCACAGGGAGAACATGCAAACTCCAAATATACAGGCATCAGGGTTGGGATCGAACCCATGACCCTCCTGCATACCAGGTGAGGTAGTTAACGTCTCACCACCACGGCGCGCTGCTCAGTGAGAGCCCACTGAGGTAGCATATGATTGTATCACGGGTGATATGAGTTACATCTAAAGTGTAAACATTCAACCATTTTAGCTGGCAAGGTTTGTAGTGAGTGTGCATTAAATACCTGGCGCCTTAGCTTTGAAGCCCTTGACAATTTCATGAAAGTAAGGTGAGGCTTAAAGGCTTTTCCATCTGCCACAGCAATGCCTTTCTCTTCAAAGCAAGTATGGATCGTTTCTGAAACCAGAATGTTGAACATTACTCAACAACTGCAACCTAAAGAGCACTAATACATGTACCAGGATGGAATGCTTAAAGTAATATACTAGATCAATGGTAAAATATCTTCACAGAAAAAATAATATTATTGTAATCACCAAATATTTTGTTTATAGCACCTCTTTATTTAAATGAACATGGTTGAAGATTTTAATTGGTATTATTCGAACATAAGAACCTCTTCCTGTCTCTGGGATTTTTCTTTGCTTCGTGCCAAACTGATGTCATCACAGAGCGATTTATGCAGGAGCAATGTGAATAGCTGTGCGGCCCCGATAAGTTGTAGCTGTGTACAGGGTAATGAGCCAAGAATCATGGCCAGATGAAGGCTGTGCTGCTGCTGTGGGGAGCGGCAACTCAAATATTTTGGGCTAAGACAACTGAATTCTTTGATTGGCAATTTCCACTTCTGCTGCCCTTAGAAGCTTGTTAAACATGTGTTTGTGGCCACGCCTCTCACTTTTTAAAATTCATATATCTATATCAAATAATATTAATAGCAAGTGCCACGTCACTGATTTCAGTTATCACTTCACATTGAATGCTGTAAAGTTACAAATATGCAAAGTGTCTCTGCACCGGCAAGCATTTGTCATCTGCCACTGAGTAAAGCAAAGAGGTTGGCCTCCACTGACATTAACAAAATATTGCACCTCTTTAATGGATACACACAGGCCTCCCTACATCCCCTTCATCCCCTTAAACTCCCGTCTACCCTGAACCTCCCCTTTTTTAAATCGTCCCGTCTTCCATGTGACACCAGTGATCGGTTCTTGCCGTACCTGCAATCTCATTGAGTATGGACATGTGGTGTCCATCAGATATTTTGACAAATGCCACCTCATTTTTAAAGTCTCCAATGCCCTCAAATGGTAGCACCACCGGTGGTCCTGGCACAAGAGTTCTCAACTTCTTCTGGCAGAGCTCCATGGCGCTTACAGCACTGCAACACACACAAACATTTTACAGCCCTTTCGTCAAGACACTGCTGGATGAGGACCTCTCAACCGCTGTGCAGGTTGTGGGGGTTATTTGGTAATATTTCCACATGCTGTAGGTTGAAAGTGGGGAGCGTGGATGTTCAGGCATAGACGTGGGAGCAAAGAAGTCCAATAAAACAAAGGATTTTGCTACACTGCCCTTTGCTGGCAACCACATAGTACCTCGAGAGAAACCATACCTACATGGTTTGCAGAATAATACTCACCAAGAAAATGAGGTAAGAGCAATGCTTTAAACATGTATAACAACTGAGGTGCAATTTACATGAATGCCACTACAAGAATGAGGCAGATGAACAATGTCAGGGGGAATGCACAATTGACTGCACGCACCTCCCAATCAGAGCCACCAACAATGCAGAACTTAACATTGCCACCGCTCCCAAGTCCCAACAAACTTCGAATGCCCGAGGCAAATTCCTACGTGGCTTACGCCTACGGTACTGCCAGGGGTCCCAAGCCAACAGCCAGTGGCCGCTCCACTCCCACCTTCCCTTTCTTTGTATCCCAGTTCCTGGGCCCCACCTGCCAGTGAGTTCCTGTGCAGCTGCACTACCTGTGACCCTGCCCGCTATGCCACTGATCCAAAGAAAAAAAGCAGACTTGATTAAAGCCCATAATACATATTTCTGGGATAGATCGTGTAAATATAAATGCGTCGTTAAACCTTCCACCACCCAACACAGCCAATTCATCAGGTTTGTCAAGTAAACAAAACATGACAATTAGTTACTAGTTGTGTTGGAGATTAAACGCACAACATTCGAGTACGATGTTTCGCCAATAATTATAACCAGCCTCATCAGTGTGGAGCGTCTGCACGAGTGCCAGGCCAAGTTCACGTACTTGCTAACCTGCTCCGTGGCAAGGTGAGCCACGAGCATGGTGATGTGCAGCGTGGCAACGGGAATCAGCGCCGGCATCAGTCTAGGGTCTCGCTGCACCACTCCCTCCTGGACGGCCTGGACGCCAGCTGCCACCTGTGAACACCCATCGAGATAAACAGGGCAACCATGCAGGCTGGCTATGGACACTTCAACAATGCTACCAAACTGCTTAAAGTTACTCCACCTCACTTACTTTTACTCGACCACATTTGGCAACATATTCATGAACTTTTGTTATACTTGGTTATAACTAGCAGGAAATACCCGGCGGTGCATGGGTACTTGCGGCTATCCTTTGTTAATGTAGAGTGGCTTAATCACTATTCAGGAGGGGGTCAATGAATATATATATTGTTTTCCATTTTGAGTTCAGTATATGTCCTAGTCTAGTCAATAAGCCCTTTTATCAGCTACAGCTGTTGCTGCTGCATTACCCTGCTACTTGCAGATTAGATGCTTCGTGATTAATCAGCACATTTGCCGACAATCATATGCAGTATCATTTCGTACTCCATTGTGGCACGTTATATTACATTTATTACAGGCCTCATGGCACAGCAACATCTTAACGGTTGCTGTAACGCCATAGACCCCCCTCCTTCTGAATACAGTGAAACTTGTTTTGAAACATTAATGCGGTTTGTCTCACACGGCAAGATGGGCGTGATTAGGGAGGTTGATCACCAACGGTGTTTTGGTTGACACAATCAATGGCAATTTTATATTAACTTCATGAGTGGGTCATTGTGTAACTGTTAGATGTGCAGGGCCAGGTGAATGTGCTGGATTAGGGATGGTAACGTCACTGAGAGCGTGTGGGGTGCCGTTTGCGGGGCTCCGGGCCCCCCTATATAAAATTTCGACTCGCCATGTAGCTAAAGTTTTCCGCGGGGTTTCAAAAGGTAACCCTGCAAAGTTTGGTAGCAATAGCTTTTGCGGTGCGGATTTGTATTCGGGACAGACTTTCATGTTTATATACAGAGAAGAGTGATACCTCTGCAGTTACTACAGGAATTGTATATGTATTGTTCCGTGCCATATTAACATAACACATCCATGCCTTCCATCTATGATTAAAGCGAGGCCAAGTCTATGTACAACACTAATTTCTTATACCTTCATTTAATGAAAGGACTTTAAATGGTTTTACATTTCATTAAGTTGATGTTATGTAACAGAGATTACAATTATTTTTTTGCACAGTAGTTATCGTTTTTTTGAAGGCATGATTTTTCCATCATAGAACATCTGGCTCACACTGAGAGACAAGCGGGATGACACTGCGGAGTCCCTTGTACCTTGTTGTTGGTGATGGGAATCGCCACAAAGTAGTTTGGTCTCCGCTTCTGTTCATCAGTGTCGGCTGCGTCTCCCTTCCTCTCATTCTCCCATCCTTTTCGTTTCCTCTTTCCTTGGTGCTGCTCTTTGACTGACATTCACAAATGTTCTTGAGTCAGTGAAAATCAAACGAGTTCCTCTTCACCACACAAACACAGGGATACATTAGTTTATTTAGAATATGCGAACAGGGGGAAACGTTGAACAATTGAGTTGTCTGCGTGTGTCCACCACCACAATTGTGAATACATATAACGTGACATTTGGCCAGCAAATACCGGTACACAATTTACCCAGCCTTGCAAACATCCCAGGGTTTTTAAAGGCCACCCTGTACCAGAGTCTAATTTTATTAATTTCCCAAGGTAATTACAGAGCAGAGCAGCTAATGAAACTACAAGTGCAATAGAAATCGACTTGAAAGTCAAATCTGCTTGCCACTCGGCTATAACTGCTGGCCGCAAACGCATGCAGTAGCGAAGTCCTTGGGCACACTCATTAGGTCTTTGCAGTGTAATGCAGCATTAAACTAAACTATAAAATATAGCTTATTTTCAGAAGCGACCTGGCCACAACTAATAGCTCAACGAAGTTGCTTATCATGAGGAACTTTATAGCAGTCAAATGCTCAAAACGCATGTTTCTAAATGTGGAGGGAAAAACCGAAGGACCTGGGGAAAAAATTCACACGACCACGGGGGAGAACACGCAAACTCAAAATATGCAGGCATCATGGTCGAGATTAAACCCACAACCTCCTGTATATCAGGCGAGGTAATTAACATCTCGCCACCGCAGCGCCCTCAAATAATAACACCTGAGGGCAAACTGTTTACAATGTTTTTGTTATATAGCATCATTTATGCAAATTGCATCTTAAAACGTGACATCACAAAGCCCAATAACAAAAAAACTTGGCATGAGAACACCCAAGAGAATAAAAAAAGAATGTAATCAAATGCACGGAGGCAAACGCAACACGAATCAGGCGGGGCGACAGAAACTTCCAAAGCTGCCTACCTCAGCCAAAATTCCAGAAAACAATAAAAATACCAAGAGCAACAGTCATGCATGCAAACAGTACCCCACTGTCACACGTGTGCGTGGGTTGCCTCGTGCTTTCTTACTGCTGAACTCTGCGGAGATGTCGGTGTGAAGGAAGGGCAGCTCGGCCAGAAGATTTACCACCTCACTCTGCCTCTTCTTCTTCTTTTTCTTGTGAGTCTGTCCCTTTGGCCGGCTCTCCACCTGCACGCCAGCGCTGTCACTGCCCTGCATACCTGGTAACAGCACCAACCACACTCGACATTTCACTTGGGGCACGGGCACTCGAATCGGCCCGCACAATGAGAATGTGGTCAACATCGCCATGTGTTGTAAGATGTGTCAGTTATTGAGATGGTCCATCCGATTATTGAAGCAATACAAATAGACGATTACCGATTATCATTCCATTCCTTATCCCAGGGGTTGGCAATGTCCGGCCCGCTGGCCATATAAGGCCCGCGAAATCATTTGGGCTGGCCCTGCCAAGGCAACCGCAGGCGGGACTCGAAATTCAATAAATCTAGGAGCAAACCTGGAAAAGCAGTTGCGAGTAGCAACATCATCAATACCAGCTAACATCATCACACGCCTCACCAAAGAGAAGCAGTTCCAGCCATCGCATTAGGGGTGAGTTAATTAAATGTTTGACCAAATATAACAGGCTAATTTTTAAATTGATAATTTTGTATGGCCCGCGAATGATGTTGTAAATATCCAAATGGCCCTTGGCAGAAAAAAGGTTTCCCACCTCTGCCTTATTCTATGGTGGGAAGATAGTGGGAAAAGTCTCACCTCTGTTTCCATGTGCACTCCTGGATGGTAGATGATGGGTGGGGCTTAGTGACATCACAGGAGAACCAGCCACATCACGATGGGCTCGGCTTGTCAGGGGTTTCCCACCTTCGAGAGGCAGGATGTTGATGGTAGCCATTGTTAAAGGAGCTTGAGTAATCGGTCACAACAAAAGCAATCGGGTACAATTTCTGGTCAATTACTAAATAATTCCAGCTTTAATCAGTTATCATTTGTTTGCCTCGTAAAGCTTAAAATTTGTCTCAAGTGCAATTTTCAAAAGGATCCTTGAGATGCTCGCACGAGTTTTTGTGTCGACACTTTGTGAATTATATTTTTTTAGTAAATAATGTCGAGAACTGCCACATCAATCAGGTGTAAACAGTTTATAGACTTGCTTTCTATTCGGTCTCATTGATAGCAGTTAATTTGCCCGCTGCTGTACATTAACAATGCACCCCGCTTTGACCGGTAAACCTGGTGGTGCCACAGTCTGTCCCGGTGAAAAATCTGTATTTTAAAAAGTTCTTGCAACTAGTAATTTAGCATTGAAATAGCTAAGGGATTAGCTTGTGACTGGTCACAGAAATAGATGTTAAAGTAAAGGCCTACACATCCACAGAGCTTCAATGAACGCTGTTAAGATTTGTAGCGACTTTAAGCTGGTTGGGAGAAGTGAGGCCCTTGACAAAAGGGGGTGTGCATATCAAATAGCTGAGGGATTAGCTTGTAGGCCTTTACTTTAACATCTATTTCTGTGACCAGTCACAAGCTAATCCCTTAGCTATTTCAATGCTAAATTACTAGTTGCCTCTGTGGATATGTAGGTTTTGACTTTAACATAGCCATTTCTGTGACCAGTCACAAGCTAATCCCTCAGCCATTTGATATGTAAACCCCTTTGTCAAGGTGCCTCACTTTTCCCAACCAGCTTAAAAGTCGCTACGAGTCTTAACATCGTTCATTGAAGCTCTGTCGTCCCGACAGGTCTGTACCTTTCACCTGAAGACAGCCGCTTGCGTTGTGGCCGAAACGTCGTGATAGTTTTATTGTTATTTTATTATTTTATTCTCATTCTACGTGACTTTACCGAAAGAACCAAAGAAGATCAATCCTTGCAGTCACGAAAGCTTTAAATCGAAACCTTACTCAGTTGGCTGTGTCGGTTGGCGGCGGGTTTAACGACACATTTATATCCAACGCGATCTAACCCAAAAACCTCTCTTATTCAGACGTCAATGAAATTGCACTTGGGTCTCAAAGTCGATTCACCGACCCGCACTGACCGGCGTGAAGCTTTGTCGAACGAATCTCCCACGACCTGCACAGGCACACGCGGAGACCCATCACCAAGCAGCGGAGGGACAACATAGCCCTGATGCGCGCACACACACACACTGATCATCTTTGAGATGCAAGTTTTATACTCATATAAATATGCGGTTCTCTTTGTATATACCTCATAACGAGTTGTCTGTGTGTCTTTGTGAGTGTACGTGTGTATGCTGCGTCAATTGACACCCTTGGACAACCCTTAAGAATGCCAAGTTCCACATCACACGGGGGGGGGGGGGGTTTGCAGGTGAAACATTGCAACAAGAAGAGGTCACCACGTCCCACATCGAACAGGGATTCACGTTAGCCGGGAGAGAGCTCTCCGCGAGTTATTGGGGTCGATGCCACGAGGTGTGAAGCCGATTGTAATTGTCAACAAGTGTCTCGTGTGCCACATAGCTGGTGTCTACATTGACATCAACAACAATAAACTCCTTACATTTTTTTTTTTTAAACAACGGTTTTATTTAAAAGTGCACTAAGGAGTAAATAACTCGACTGGACAAGGGGAAGTGGACGACATCTGGATCACAAGAGACACGTGGCGCCGGCTTCTTAGGCGAAGTCATTCCAGTTTCGGGACCGCGGCCTTTTTGACCTACCCAGTAAAATATTTAATTAATACGCCGCACATACAAAATGTTAATTGCTTTGAAAGAGCCAATTAATTGATTGATGCCGATTTTGATACAGGCATGCATTGTCACCGGATCTGAGTACGTGTGCAAGTTTTTGAATTGATTGGACAACACAAAGTAGACTAACTTTTGATTACAAGATTTGACCACGACACAGCTTTCAAGTTAAAACCGTTGAAAAACTCGACATTCGTCACGAACACTTCGAAGGAAAAGCAAAATAGAGGTCGGTTTAGGGGAATGATATACCCTTATGTGCGCTTAAGGAGCATTGCTCGAAACGTCGGGGGTTTTTTTTCGACATTGACGAATGTGTTGAGTCGTATTGTTAAATGTGCGTGTGGGCTATTCCTGGGAGGATGGGAATGGTTTAGTTGTGTCTGTGCGTTTGGGTGATTTGTTTCGCTTTCTTATACTTTGCACCGCTGTCGTGTTTGTGTCATGTTTGTTGTTAACGTTCTTACCCCGTGCCCCTACTGGACGCCTGTGGAAAGATCTTCACAGCTAATCGGATTCCTCACGCAGTCGAAAGACTTCGTGATTCTCAGTTGATAAAACTCGAGACGCGAAAGGGAGGCACGTGACCACGCAGAGTGGGCGGAAGCGTGGGGGGAGGGGCGCCGTGAGGGGAGGGGCGCCGTGGGGGGAGGGGCGCCGTGGGGGGAGGGGCGCCGTGGGGGGAGGGGCGCCGTGGGGGGAGGGGCGCCGTGGGGGGAGGGGCGCCGGGTGTGGTGGGGGGGCGCCGCTTGCCCACTCGCCTCGCGTGCCCCCGCCCCCTCCTGCTGCTGCTTGGCGCGCGCGGTGGCGCGGGAGAGCGACGGTGGGGGCCGAGGCGGGGTGGAGGAGGCCGAGGCGGGGTGGAGGAGGCGCTACAAGAGAGAGAGGGGGGGGCGGGAAACTTCCCGCGACTCCCCCGCAGCAGCAGCACCGAGGCGCGTGGCGCCCGAACCACAGTCGCCTAGAGGGGAAGTGACGGCAGCGTCGCCTCCTCCTCCCTCGCCCCGCCTCCTCCTCCCTCACCCCGCCTCCCCCTCCCTCACCCCGCCTCCTCCTCCCTCACCCCGCCTCCTCCCTCCCTCACCCCGCCTTCTGCTTCCTCACCCCGCCTCCTCCCGCCCTCACCCCGCCTCCTCTCGCCCTCACCCCGCCTCCTCCCTCCCTCACCCCGCCTCCTCCCTCCCTCACCCCGCCTCCTCCTCCCTCGCCCCGCCTCCTCCCTCCCTCGCCCCGCCTCCTCCCTCCCTCACCCCGCCTTCTCCTTCCTCACCCCGCCTCCTCCCTCGCCCCGCCTCCTCCCTCCCTCACCCCGCCTCCTCCTCCCTCACCCCCCACCCGTTGCCACGTGAGAGGCTTTCCCCTCCGGGTTGATATTTGAGCCGAGACCCCCGTCTTGTAAACACGTCAACACCACAACTTGTAAACACGTCACTACAACTTGTAAACACGTCATCACTACAACTTGTAAACACGTCAACACCACAACTTGTAAACACGTCACTACAACTTGTAAACACGTCAACACTACAACTTGTAAACACGTCAACACCACAACTTGTAAACACGTCAACACCACAACTTGTAAACACGTCACTACAACTTGTAAACACGTCAACACTACAACTTGTAAACACGTCAACACCACAACTTGTAAACACGTCAACACCACAACTTGTAAACACGTCATCACTACAACTTGTAAACACGTCATCACTACAACTTGTAAACACGTCAACACCACAACTTGTAAACACGTCAACACCACAACTTGTAAACACGTCACTACAACTTGTAAACACGTCAACACTACAACTTGTAAACACGTCAACACCACAACTTGTAAACACGTCATCACTACAACTTGTAAACACGTCATCACTACAACTTGTAAACACGTCAACACCACAACTTGTAAACACGTCAACACTACAACTTGTAAACACGTCACTACAACTTGTAAACACGTCAACACCACAACTTGTAAACATACAACTTGTAAACACGTCATCACTACAACTTGTAAACACGTTAACACCACAACTTGTAAACACGTCACTACAACTTGTAAACACGTCAACACCACAACTTGTAAACACGTCATCACTACAACTTGTTAACACGTCAACACTACAACTTGCAAACACGTCAACACTACAACTTGTAAACACGTCACTACAACTTGTAAACACGTCAACACTACAACTTGTAAACACGTCATCACTACAACTTGTAAACACGTCAACACTACAACTTGTAAACACGTCACTACAACTTGTAAACACGTCAACACTACACCTTGTAAACACGTCAACACCACAACTTGTAAACACGTCATCACTACAACTTGTAAACACGTCAACACCACAACTTGTAAACACGTCACCACTACAACTTGTAAACACGTCATCACTACAACTTGTAAACACGTCAACACTACAACTTGTAAACACGTCAACACTACAACTTGTAAACACGTCAACACTACAACTTGTAAACACGTCACCACTACAACTTGTAAACACGTCAACACCACAACTTGTAAACACGTCAACACTACAACTTGTAAACACGTCATCACTACAACTTGTAAACACGTCAACACCACAACTTGTAAACACGTCATCACTACAACTTGTAAACACGTCATCACTACAACTTGTAAACACGTCAACACTACAACTTGTAAACACGTCAACACCACAACTTGTAAACACGTCATCACTACAACTTGTAAACACGTCATCACTACAACTTGTAAACACGTCAACACTACAACTTGTAAACACGTCAACACTACAACTTGTAAACACGTCAACACTACAACTTGTAAACACGTCATCACCACAACTTGTAAACACGTCAACACTACAACTTGTAAACACGTCACTACAACTTGTAAACACGTCATCACTACAACTTGTAAACACGTCACTACAACTTGTAAACACGTCATCACTACAACTTGTAAACACGTCAACACCACAACTTGTAAACACGTCAACACTACAACTTGTAAACACGTCAACACCACAACTTGTAAACACGTCACTACAACTTGTAAACACGTCATCACTACAACTTGTAAACACGTCAACACCACAACTTGTAAACATGTCATCACTACAACTTGTAAACACGTCAACACTACAACTTGTAAACACGTCACTACAACTTGTAAACACGTCAACACCACAACTTGTAAACACGTCAACACTACAACTTGTAAACACGTCATCACTACAACTTGTAAACACGTCATCACTACAACTTGTAAACACGTCAACACCACAACTTGTAAACACGTCATCACTACAACTTGTAAACACGTCAACACCACAACTTGTAAACACGTCAACACTACAACTTGTAAATACGTCAACACTACAACTTGTAAACACGTCAACACTACAACTTGTAAACACGTCAACACTACAACTTGTAAACACGTCACTACAACTTGTAAACACGTCATCACTACAACTTGTAAACACGTCACTACAACTTGTAAACACGTCAACACCACAACTTGTAAACACGTCACTACAACTTGTAAACACGTCATCACTACAACTTGTAAACACGTCATCACTACAACTTGTAAACACGTCAACACTACAACTTGTAAACACGTCACTACAACTTGTAAACACGTCAACACCACAACTTGTAAACACGTCAACACCACAACTTGTAAACACGTCATCACTACAACTTGTAAACACGTCAACACTACAACTTGTAAACACGTCACTACAACTTGTAAACACGTCAACACTACAACTTGTAAACACGTCACTACAACTTGTAAACACGTCATCACTACAACTTGTAAACACGTCAACACCACAACTTGTAAACACGTCATCACTACAACTTGTAAACACGTCACTACAACTTGTAAACACGTCACTACAACTTGTAAACACGTCATCACTACAACTTGTAAACACGTCATCACTACAACATGTAAACACGTCATCACTACAACTTGTAAACACGTCAACACTACAACTTGTAAACACGTCACTACAACTTGTAAACACGTCATCACTACAACTTGTAAACACGTCAACACCACAACTTGTAAACATGTCATCACTACAACTTGTAAACACGTCAACACTACAACTTGTAAACACGTCATCACCACAACTTGTAAACACGTAAACACTACAACTTGTAAACACGTCATCACCACAACTTGTAAACACGTCAACACTACAACTTGTAAACACGTCATCACTACAACTTGCAAACACGTCAACACTACAACTTGTAAACACGTCAACACCACAACTTGTAAACACGTCAACACTACAACTTGTAAACACGTCAACACTACAACTTGTAAACACGTCACTACAACTTGTAAACACGTCATCACTACAACTTGTAAACACGTCAACACTACAACTTGTAAACACGTCATCACTACAACTTGCAAACACGTCAACACTACAACTTGTAAACACGTCAACACTACAACTTGTAAACACGTCACTACAACTTGTAAACACGTCATCACTACAACTTGTAAACAGGTCAACACTACAACTTGTAAACACGTCACTACAATTTCGATTTAAAGCTTTCGTGACTGCAATGATTCATCTTCTTTGGTTCTTTCGGTAAAGTCACGTAGAATGAGAATAAAATAATAAATTGATAAAATAAAATAACACAATAATATTCTCACGACGTTTCGGCCACAACACAAGCGGCCTTCATCAGGTGAAGGGGGCGAGTCTGTCTGGTAGGACAGCGCTGGAGTGAGAGAGCCACGTTCAGATCACGGCTTTTAAGCTGTGTGAGAGGAACAAAGAGCCTTAGAGTCGCGGCATCTCTTCAGAAAGGTGAGAGACTCGATTAGTTGAGCCTTCTTATCCCGAAGTCTGTTGAATGATCTTAAGGATGTGTGGAATCCCTCCCCGTAGAGGCGGTTAAATTTCGATTTAAAGCTTTCGTGACTGCAATGATTCATCTTCTTTGGTTCTTTCGGTAAAGTCACGTAGAATGAGAATAAAATAATAAATTGATAAAATAAAATAACACAATAATATTCTCACGACGTTTCGGCCACAACACAAGCGGCCTTCATCAGGTGAAGGGGGCGAGACTGTCTGGTAGGACAGCGCTGGAGTGAGAGAGCCACGTTCAGATCACGGCTTTTAAGCTGTGTGAGAGGAACAAAGAGCCTTAGAGTCGCGGCATCTCTTCAGAAAGGTGAGAGACTCGATTAGTTGAGCCTTCTTATCCCGAAGTCTGTTGAATGATCTTAAGGATGTGTGGAATCCCTCCCCGTAGAGGCGGTTAAATTTCGATTTAAAGCTTTCGTGACTGCAATGATTCATCTTCTTTGGTTCTTTCGGTAAAGTCACGTAGAATGAGAATAAAATAATAAATTGATAAAATAAAATAACACAATAATATTCTCACGACGTTTCGGCCACAACACAAGCGGCCTTCATCAGGTGAAGGGGGCGAGACTGTCTGGTAGGACAGCGCTGGAGTGAGAGAGCCACGTTCAGATCACGGCTTTTAAGCTGTGTGAGAGGAACAAAGAGCCTTAGAGTCGCGGCATCTCTTCAGAAAGGTGAGAGACTCGATTAGTTGAGCCTTCTTATCCCGAAGTCTGTTGAATGATCTT